AAAGAGGACGAGAGGGCGAGAGACACCGACAGAGGCAGTGGGAAACAGGAGAGAGAGAGAGAGAGAGAGAGAGAGAGAGAGAGAGAGAGAGAGAGAGATTGGTGTGTGCGAGTGCCTCAAGTTGTGTGTGAGTGCCTCAAGTTGTGTGCGAGTGCTTCAAGTTGAGCTGGTGTTTATGAACTTCAGCTCAGTGGGAAGTGTTTTGCAGTTGATAGACAAAGAAGGCACGAATTGCTTTGTGGTTTCTTGGGGGGGCCCTAATAAGCAGATGGGCAAAGCTTCACCTGATTTCTGTGCAGCCTCCCTGCTGTTTAGCTAACATTTAATTTGGCTTCTTTTGCTTTTTTGCACCCTGACGGATGAAGGTCTGAGCAGAGTGCTGTGAAGCATTGTTACTGGGCTCGGAGAAGATGCGCGAGGCAGCAGTCCAGCTTACAGATGGCGTTGCGTGTAAAGCCATTAGTGCCAATCTGCTGTGTCAAGCAGGTRTTCATGCCAGCACATTGTATGGTACTCAAGAAGGGAACAATGCCAGGCTACACACACACTCGTCCTTATGATAGTGTTGACACTTGGAGTGCACCCAGAGCACTGTTGTGACTGTGTATTTTGTGCGTGTTCTCAGTCAGAGATGTGTATGATTAGTACCCCACTGTATTACACAGTGACAGCACACATAAATAATGCTCTTATAGATCCTAATACGCTTATGAATTTTTAATCTTCTTGGCTCTAGTGTGGGCGCTATAGGTAAAGAGATCAATGTGAACACACTGCCGTGTTTTCTCCCTCTGTCGCGTGCTTTAATAGAGAGAGTTATTGTAGCGCTGGTAGGTGGGAAGGACAGCGACTGGACTGTTCGAGCCAGAATAGCTCCATCTGCCAGGTCCAGCTCAGTCAACGACAAACACTGTTGCCTCTACTACTGCTTTCCTTTACCCCCTAAGATCAGCTATACAATCTTTTAGAAGCAAACCATTGGTCTGTCTTTTCATCATTGTTTTTCATTGGGAATAAATCTCTTCTAAAGCTGGAAACAAGAGCCAAGGCTCTTATCTGTGATGTCAGCGGGAGACAAATGCTCTTTTTTCTTAAACTGATAATGAATTATGGGTCAGTTTTGTGAAACAGCAACCCAGTGTAGTTTYTATTGGATTTTGATAATTGCTTGCTCTGTTGCGAACAATTTTAGAGACTGAAAAGATGCTTAAAGGGACCCATTAGTTGTAACATTAGACTTTATTTGATAAACACATTTTAACTGTAAAATAAAGACTATAAAAATACTGTAGGCTGTTTAGTTTTGTAATTTTTTTAAATATATTTCAACACGGACGGAGCCATTTTATTTACACACAAAGCATTCTGGGTAAATGATGACGTGGATAGGTCCTCGGTGTGAGCGAGCTATATCCACCCTGAAGGTTAATCTTGGACAATATCTGATGATCGACTCTTTTAAATGAAACCAGAGAGCGTTGACAGAGAGGAGAAGGTAGAAATGACTCAGCCTGTAACTGAAAATATGGATGGAGGACAACAGAGCTGCTTCATGGAAGAAGAAACTCAGCTTAGCCTGTTAGCCTTTGCAGTAGCACCAACGCTATATTGCCTTATATGTATTAGCCCGTCGCTAGCGCGACATACAAGTTAAATTGTGGTCCTCCATCCATATTTTCAGGGTGGATATAGCTTGCTATAGCCTCGCACCGATAACCTATCCACGTCATCATTTATCCAAAATTCTTTGCGTGTAAATAAAATGGCACCGTCAGTATACTATATTTTTAAACTTTTAGTTTAAAAATTATAAAAACTAAACAGCCTACAGTATTTTTACAGTCTTTGTTTTACAGTTAAAATATATGTTTAATAAATAAAATCTAATGTTACAACTAATCAGGGATCCCTTTAAAGAAGCCATGAGTAAAGCAACCATTGCCTATCTTCTGTTGTTGGAGATGTGCCTTAAAATGCTTTTTTTCTGTCAGGGATCTAAGATTGCCTTTTGACAAAGTTGTGTATGGATTTCCAAGAACTGCCCAAAAAGAGCACAAACCCCCTTCACCACATTTATTAGAAGTGAGTTGTGTGACTGACTGTATCTCTTCCTCACACACACATACACAAGGACAGAGTCACATACACAAACACACACATACACAAARCTATGTTGCTATATTTTCTCACACTGAAGTGTCGCTTGCTGGTGATAATTGTGAATTTAATTGATACTGTCACATGGTCTGTAATGGGGTTTCAAGTGATTGCAGAGGCTGAGTGAAATAAACGCAGAATATTTTCTCTTTTTTTCTAGGAGAAAAGGCGCCTCAGCAGAGCAGGGATTAAAAGGAAAAAAGTAAAAGAAAAACACCCCTTTCTGATTAGCTTTTCTTCTCCTCTTACGCTTCTCTTGAAATGCAAACTCCCTAATACCTCGTGTGGAGAGAAAACGTGACAGGAGCGAAACCGTTTCTTCCTCTATGTTAGGAAATTCCATCTTGAACCGACTCACCTTTCATAAAAGCTTTAGTGTTTGCATTACCTAGCAGCCCGTTGGCTAATGTGCATTTCTTTCCAACTCGTACAGCACAAGAGGAAATGGACCTGGGCGATCTTCATCATTAGCATATCATTAACATCATAATGTGCATTTGAAATTCACAAAGTAATAAAGACTATACAATTAACATTGATGTCTATGTACCATGGATAGTACACAGGAGGAAAATTTAACCTGCAGAAATCAATACAAAACAAGATAATATTAATGTTTGATGTMGAATAAAACCAACTGTGCAACGTTCATCCATACTAAGTGCCAAAAACTGCCCTTCAAACTACAGTTAAGACTCATCCTGCCTGAGGTCATCTTAAGAACTCTAACCAACCCAGTTTCTGACCAATGGGTTATTGATAACTCCTGTGCCTCTGCACAGCCCCTCTGGGTAACCTGCACTCACGTGCTGTTGCAAAAACACTTGTAGGAAATTGTCAGTGTGATGCAAGTACAAGAAGGAGATCGGAAACTGGTTAATGCCTTTTTTTTTCTTGCTCCGGCAAACATCTTTCATATTTATCTCCGTCATTGGTAGCAAATGAGCCACGTTTATGCACCTGCAGTCCACCCCT